CCCTGGCTTAAAGCATGTCTAACTTGCGTATATACCTTGAGCCTTTATCAAGGGTTGTTGCTTTATTCGTCACCTCCCTTGGTACTGTGTCTTAAAGTTCTTCTGTGTTTGGAAGTATAATTTGAAATAGTTATGTAAAACTGGCAGAATCTGGAGCTGGGGAAGTTGCTTTTTAAAAAGCATTGACTATGTAACTGATGGCAAAGCTGTCCCCAAATAAATCAGTTCGCACACAGAGACGCACTACTTTTTGCAGGAGTGGTTATGTACATTTATTTTCACTCCATTACTTGCTATTTCTGCAGCGGCGCAGGCAAAGGCTTTTCAGGATTCATACATTATATACCGATGGCACTGTGTAGGTAAGAGGTAGTGACAATGCCATCATGGTAGTGGTACAGAATGGCATAATGCTTGGAAAAATCCACTCAAAATTCTTCTAAAAATGCCATTTAAAAGTGGATTTAAACATAAATAAAAAGTGTTGCATCCTTCTTCCCAAAAGAGTAACCTCATTCTCACTCGCTACATTAATTTTGAATACAACTTATTTCCTCCATTTTACAAAAAAAAAAAAAAACCTCACTGTGCATAGCCCAGATTACTTGTAATTCAGTTACTTTTAACTCTGCATAGCCCAGATTACTTGTAACTCTGCTCTGGCAGAGACAAAAAAGAAAATGGGAGCTAGATGAGAATCTCTGATATCATCCTAGTGTTTTGTGGTTTTTTTAGTGTCTTTACTAAGTGGTCGTGGATGATGCGGTTATGGAAATTGTGGCCTATCAAAACATGGAAATGGTTTCTCCCTAGCACTCAAACTATCTTGAATTAGCATACCTTTTTTTGAGTTGCTCTTCTTTTCACCCCATCTGAATTGTCTGAGATCCTTGCACCCCTTTTCCAATGAAAGTAAATAACAGTGAGCTTTGAGATGCTAGGGGAATTCCTACCTTGCAGTTCCTTGATTGAAATGTACATTTTGGACTAGTGTGCCGACCAAAGCTTAGTTTACCCAACAGATTTTCTGCCTCCAAAAGATGCCCCATACTACTTGGCAATTCAGACATAAAAATACATTTAAGATACTATTTAATAGTTATAACAGAGCGGTTGAATGCACATAATAATGGCAGAGATCCTGCATCAAGCAGACAAAGCATAATTCTTTACCTGTACAGTTCCATGGTTGTTGATGTTTTGATGAGGCTATCCTTTGGCCTGGGGTGGGATTGTGGGAAACTAGAAAACAGTATTAGCCCCCAAAGAGAGCTTGAAGGCACATTGGCTCTCTTGACCATTGTACATAAAACATGCTAAGCACTTAAGAAAACTGCTTTAACATTCCTAAGGGCATTTAAAGTTACCTGGAAAAAAAGGATCAGAAACCATCTTCCTTTTTCTTTTCTTGTTTAGCTGTTTGGAGTATGTTTGTCATTTAGCTGACAAATTAGGCATCAGTTCCTCCACCCTCCTTAGTTAGTAGTCTGTCCATTGCTACTAGTCATCCTAGCAGTGTACAACCTCCAGTATCAGAGACAGTACGGGATGCAGTGGCTCAAATGGTTAAGACTCTGACTCTGTTGATTGCAGATCGGCAGGTTGGCAGTTTGAGGCCCAGGTGCTGCGTGATGTGGTGAGCTCCCATCACTAGTCCCAGCTTCTGCCAACCTAGCAGTTTGAAAGCATGCAAATGCAAGTAGATAACTAGGTACCACTTTGGTGGGAAGGTAAACAGCTTTCTGTACAATCATGTTGGCCATATGATCACAGAGTAGTCTTTGACAATGCTGGCTCTTTGGCTTAGAAATGGAGATGAGCACCATCCCTTACTGTCTTCACAACTTTGTCAACGGGGAATGCTTATACCTTTACCTTATCAGAGGCAGTAGGCCTTGCAGTTATTGTTGCTATGAAACTTGAATTGGAGGGTGCTGTTGCATTCATGTTTGGCTCATGTGCTTCCCAGAGGTTTCATAGAATCGTAGAGTTGGAAGAGACCCCAAGGGCCATCCAGTCCAACCCCCTTCCACGCAGGAGTACACAAAGCACCTCCAACAGATGGCCACTCTCCAAGAGAGTGTGTTCCTCTGTCAAAAAGCTCTTACTGTCAGGAAGTTCCTCTTAATGTTTAGGTGGAATCTCTTTTCCTGTAGCATGTATCCATTGTTCTGTGTCCTATTCCCTGGAGCAGCAAAAAACAAGCTTGCTCCATCAATATGACACCTCCTCAAATACTTAAACAGAGCTATCATATCACCTCTTAACCTTCTCTTCTCCAAGCTAAAGATTCAGGTTGGCTGCAATGAAAACCCTTCAGTTTGACCCAGTGCAGTATCACACCTGAATAGATGCAATGAATTCACTGCTTAACTTCCCAGGTTCTCTGCCTACATTTCTTTGGTATCTTTTCTTTTTGTGTGTGTAGCTGCTCCCTTGCTGGTTTCTGGAGAACAGAGGATCAACCTGGCAATAGCAAAGGTCAAGCAGAACTATGAGCAACTGGAGCAAGAATTTCAGAAGCGGAAGGCTGAAAGCAGAGCAAATGAGGCCCCCTGCCCAATGGATGTTCTTGGAGTCCGTATTAAGGAGGAGCCAGTGAGTGATGAGGAGCCAATGGACACATCAGTTTGCGACGGCCTGAATAATGGACTGGCCAATGGTATCCATTCGGAAGAGAACTCAGTGGACTCCTTGAACGGCCACTTACCAGTCCAGGAAAGGGTCACCCAGGAACTGAGAGCCTTTTTGGTAGCAACATTTAGGAAACAATATGTTCTAACCCTGAATGAGCTGAAACGGTTGTTCAATCTCCATGTGGCCAGTCTGCCTCCTGGGAATCTCTTGTTTAGCGGCATTTCAGACAAAATGTTGCAGGACATGGTGTTGGACATGGGCTGCAAACAAATAATGGTGCCTGTAAGTATTTTTATTTTAATATTTTATTTTACTGTGATCTGTT